CGTGCGTGCGTGCGTGCGTGCGTGCGTGCGTGTGCGTGCACAATTCCTGCCATTCGCGATTTACATCAACGTCGGCAAGTGCTGTTATAACCGAACGCTACGACGGCCGAGCCGACGTTCCCGACAACGTCGCCGACGCTCGCTATTCACGGAACAGAATCTTCGATTCTCCCCCTCCTCCTGTATCACACCTTTACACCTCTGCGAAAATACGGCGCGGGCGGGTGTCAGAGTGGGGCGTTGGTTGGGCGGGTGGACAATTTTTTGTTTTGGGTGTATAATTCGTTCTCACTCTATAGACACTTACCGGCCGGATTTCGTGATGACCATCTCTGTGCCTAGCTTGTGGAACTTCTCCCACAGCTCCTTCGACTCAAGATCCACCTTCGGATTGTCGACGTACTGAGAGTCTTCCGGATCTATTGTACGTAGCGGCCGTTGCATCGACGCCGCCATCGACTGCTGTGCCGCCATCAGTTCCTCGGCCGACAGATGCCCCGAGGAAAGAAGCCCGGGCGTCTGACCGAGCGACTTGGGCGTGAAGGGGGCCGAGAGCGCGTGTGGGTGCAGGGCGAGGCCCTGTAGACCGGGGAAGTACTGCGACTGGGCCGTGAGAATGCTGTTCATGCTGAAATCCGACGGCCTGTGGAGGAGAAACGGCGGGTAGGCCATCGCTGGGTGGTGGTGTGGGGAAGCTGCGGCTGCTGTAAGCGGCTGCACCGGCTGGGTAATGTCAGACTCCTGGAGTTTCATGGAAGATGACGATGATGTCGTGTACCTATCCAGCGTTGATGGCACGGGCGGCGACGACTGTTGCTGCTGTTGCTGCTGCTGCTGTTGCTCGTCGGAGCTCGCCGCTCCGCTCGTCTCGCTGTCGGCGATGGTGACGACGATGACGATGACGCTGACGACGATGACGATGTTTCATCTAACAGCACACTGTCACTGCGGGCGATGATCATTCTCCGGGCGACACATCGTCGGGGCGCGCGCCTGCCGTAAGTGTCACCGCCGTGTCACCTAAACGTCGCGCACACGAACACGCACAAACACACAACAAGTTGAGATGCCGCACTGCCACCTCTTCTCGTCCTCCTCCTCCTCCTCCTCCTCCTCCTTCTCCTCTTCTTCTTCTCTCTCCTTCTCTATGATGCTGTCGCCTCTCGCGCGCGCTTTCTCTCCGTCCGTCGCTCGATGCAACAACACTAACGTATACGTAGCGCGCGAGAGAGAGAGAGAGGTTAACGCGGGTTGATGTGATGACACACGTCGCACACACTGACGGAGCACGCGGGCACGCTTACAGACCAAGCAGCCGCCACCGCGTATAGTAGCGAGCGAGAGAGTTTCAGCACGCTGTGTGCGCGGGCACTGCGTCGCTGCAAGACGGCATACGTGTGACCAATCCACAGTGAAGAGCGACCAATCGGCACCCGCGCTGCGCGCTGCGCCGCTATAGGCGTGTACGCCCGCTGCCGCTACTGATGGCGGCCACACGCCTGCCAGCAGCAGCCGCGCAAGCAAGCAGCAGCGGCGGCGGCGGCGGCGGGGTACAATAGAGAGAGGAGAGGCAGCGGGAGCGGATCCACGCAGCGCACTGCCATGCTCACCGATGTGTTGTAGCGTGCGTGTTTGGTGTGTTGTGTGTGTGTTCGTGTTGTGGGTCGCGTGCCTGTGAAGGTGTGTGGTGGTGTGCCGGCCGGCGTGTTGCGTGCGATGCTTGTGCGTGCAGTAAGAGCTGCGGCGCAGTAGTATGTTTGTGTTGTGATGTATTGGTTATGTGGTGTGTGTTGTGTGTGACAGAGTGAAGCGCTCTCCCACGGGCGTGGTAACGGGGATTTTGAAGATTGGGCACTTCGAAAACTGAAAGGAATAGATATCGTGAAAAGAGCTTCTGATCTGTAGGGCCGCCGAGAGGAATAGACGTATATCTCTACTCATCTCTACCATCTCAATCTCTCTCTCTCGTCTCTTC